TTACAGTTCAGAGGTGGGGCAGACATGGAAATGGGAGAAGAGCTCTGCAGACTAAAGCAAAAACATCAGGGCCGCTTGTGCAGGGAAGTCTGTCGCTATAGAGTCTTTTCAAGTACTTGGCTCTCCTGTCCTCTCAGATTGCGCTACCAAAAGCCTGGCTGACACACTAGATAGCCGAGAAAGTTAGCTTAAAGGACATGTTAGCCATTCATTCCTCTAGGTTTTCTGAGCTCTATTTCAGCATCCAGGACCACTGCCAAAACTCTACCACTGGACCACAGTAGCCCAGGCCCCCAGAGATAAACTCACATTGGGATGCTTTTCTTCACAAAGCTCTCCACAGTTTTTTTTTTCCCCACTGGAGCAAGGGTACAGAATGTGTGGCCCGCAAAATGACAGGACAAACACAAATGCTCCCAGTGATGCTTCTTGTTAGCTGTCCATGGCTCCCCTTTAGGCACTGATAACTCTGTATGGTCCTTGAATGATATAAATTTCCAAATGGCCTTTAGCAGAGAAAAAGATTCCCTCCTCCTGTGAGTACTGGTTAAAGACATACTTTATTTTCTATTGGAGTATTGTTGTCCATAATATGATTAGATATTTTCATATGAATGTATATTAGCTGCCAGGCATCACAGCAAGTACTCTGCATGTGTTACATGATCAATACTAATCACTATCCTACATACCACCTCTACATTTCTTATTTTCTGTGAGGTTGGCTACAATGAGACTCACAGCTAAATAAATAAGCAGTAAGTACTCAAGATTTTACTGTTATTTTCCTTCTTCTCTAAGATGTTGATCTTCTCTTCACACTTTTAACAGTCTCATTGTTTTGTGGGATTTTTTTTGTATGTGTGCCAGTACTAGAGCTTGAACTCTCAGGACCTGTGTGTTGTCCGTGAGTGTTTTTGCTCAAGGGTAGTACTCTACAACTTGAGCCACAGATCTGCTTATGGCTTTCTCAGTAGTTTATTGGAGATCAGAGTCTCACGGACTTCCTTGTACAAGCTGGATTTGAACTGCAATTCTCAGGTATCAACCTCCTGACTAGCTAACATAATAAGCATGAGTTATGGGTGCCTGACAGCCTTTTGTCATATTTGTACTCTGCATTTACTCAGACAATTCTGAAAGCTGTCTCTCTAAACAAAAACAAATTTCCATAAATATCAATTATAATCTCCTTTCATCTTTCAATTGGCAAGACTTTTCATGTACAATAATATGAAGATGATCCCTTAGGTACCATACTCTGGTGACCTAAAGACTAAAAAAATGCAGTAGTTCTCACAATCATCTGATCTAGAATGTGTCTTGAACATACATTGTAGGAAAAAAGAGAAAAGTTTATCTGGTTTCACTTACAACATAGGGTAACAGGTTATTCTCAAGCATACCATCAAGAACTATTTCTATCTAATTTGGGTCCTGCTAGTCCCGTGTTTGCCCTCTACAACCACCATTTTGACAGCCTAAACTCAACCACTGTATGCCCTTGGTCTCTTTAGAACTGCCAAAGCCAGAGGGACTGCCAAGACCTGCTGAGTGAGAAGTCATTGCTATCACCCAGTGATGTCTGGTTTCTGGAATTTCACTCTTAGTACTGACAATGCCTCTGAAACAAATAAAGATGCCACTGAAATTCAGGGAGCTTAAGGTCAATGTCTTTAGGCAATCAAGTGGGCGCATATGACAGCTCTACTGCTGAGTATTTCTATGTACTCATGTCAAATATTCCAAAAGGAACTTGTAGAAATAGCCCTCTACACTGTCACTACCCAGAATGGTGAGCCTATTGCTGAGTTTGTTAATGAACAATAGAGATGACAGAGAGTGAGAGAAGAGGTATTGATTTTGAGCCACATACACGGGGTTTTATGTATGCACACACATACTGCAAATGTTGTCATAACCCATTGGCACCAACTAATGATGCTCAGGTGTTTTGAAGAACATAGTGTTTGGATACAACTATTAGTACATTCAATGAAGCTGTACCCTGAAGAAGCACCTGCTGTGTGTCAAGAGCTCTTCCACAGAAATTATTAGTGAAGGCTAATAAGTCAAGAAGTCAAGACTCCATTTTTCACTGACTCCATTTTCTAATAAGGAGGATTGTTAAGGTAATTAATGATTGCCAAGTTAAAAGAACAATTCACATTGTAAATAGAGAAGAAAAAGGACAAACAAAGAAAAACCAGTGCAGCCTTTCTGAAAAAGAATAAGAGATAGCCCTTGCTCCAGTGGTCAGGGAAGGGCTTTCTAAGAAGGTGCTATATCATCTTACACTACAATGAGAAGAAGGAGCAAAAGAAACCAATCAGCTTTACTCTGATTTCCATCAAAAAGATGAGCTTACTAAAAAAAGAAACATATAACTGTACTAGTGGCTCCACACATGATTCCAACAACTGCAGGTGAAATCCTTAACTTTCTCTCTTTAAAGGAGATTTTTTTTAACTTATAATTTTCCCAAAGATTCTGACTCAAAAGAAAAGTCTATTAATTCATCTCTATTGATAGCAGAATCTGCTACAAAAGAAAAAAGAACCCTAAAAGACAGGAGATGGAGATTTTATTCCTCTTCGTAAAGTCAGCGACTTTATATGACATTCTCCCAATATCAACAAAATTATTCATTTGCATTGTTATACCAACAGGAATTGCTTCATGTGCTATGTTCAGCATCATCTACTTTCACTCATAAAGCCAAGCTTTATTTACTAGCAGATGTTTCCACTTCTAATGTATAAGTAACCTTTCAAAATTAACTAAAAATGATTTTTTGATTGATCTGTTTTAAGATGCACAAATAATAAATCGATGGCCACTAAATCCATTCACATAGAGTGACACCAAACAAATCACTTACGATGGAATAGCACTTTGGACCAATTGAAACACAACCAAGTGTCATGAAAACATCTTAAAAGTCATCCACTACTCAAAATAATTCCCATTGAGACATGTTTTTTACATTAGTATATGCCATCTTAGGACTTTCTTATCAGAACTAGAAATAATTAACCGAAGTGAATTAGGGAGTCAGATCAGTTACCATGAATATTCAAAATAAATCATGGACCCTTTTCACTGAAATGCACTTTTTGTTCCTTTGCCACACAATGTATGCAGCATATTACAGGATACACTAGCATTACTAACTAAAGGCCAAATCGTAAAAAAGATATTGCCCAACACGTCTCTGTTACCTAATATATTTATCACTAAAGAAACTGCTGGTCTTGTCTCATACACTATTAAAAGAATAGTTAATTTCTCCATCTTTAAAAAAAAAACAAACTGAATCCCACTCGTACCTAAGATCAATAACAAACTGAGTGAGAATTTCCAGCCCGTTCACTGACTGGCCTAGGTGTTGGAAATGGTCGCGGTTTCTCAGTGTGTGAAGAGAACAGGAACTAGTTGTCAGAACCTGGCTGTTCAGGTAACTCTCTTTAACTCATTTCATACATGCTTCTAAGGCCCTTCTTTAAGAATTCCCACTTGGGTGTGGGGGGGGGGGGCAATCAGACATTTAGCCTTTAATGAAAACAAACAACTCCAGCCCCACCCCCCTCCTTAAGACAAATCAGAAGGCTTAAGAATTAGCTCCCATAATAATCCGACAGTGGTTATTGGGAAATCGTCCTCCAAAATGACGACTCCAACTAAGAAGGACGAAAACCACTAGGAATAACAAACAGACAAACACAATTCTCCCAGGTGAGTCGTGGCCCGAGAGTCGGGAGGGTGCCCCGCGGGCACAAGTGGGGTCACCGGCGGCTGGAGGCGCCCGCAGGAAGATGCTGCCCCAGGAGAAGGAGCGCGACTCCGGAGACGGCTCGGAGAAGCCCAGGAAGCTCCGGCCGCAGCACCCACCCACCCACCCCGCAGCCAGCGAATTCTCCTTTCCAAACCCCTGGAGATGCCAGGGGCAGTGGGCAAACACAGGAGACCGGAGACTCACCGTCCCTTTAAACTGCGCCCCCCCCCCTCCAACCCCGCCGTGCCAGCCAACCTTTTCCGAACCCCCGTGTGTCACACAACTTCCTTCTCATGGAAACTTCCACTGGGTTCCGCGGCGCTGAAGATGCCAAACTCCATTTCCCAAGGAGCCTGTCAACAACTAGGCTCCGGGGGTAGGAGGCACAGAGTCACTGCGATCGGAGCTGGGGGGCCGCGGAGCGGGGCGGGCGAGGGGAGCGGCGGGGGGTGGGGGGAGACGGTCCCTGGGCACTGTGCTCCAGGGGCTGCCCATGCCAGGCTGTCTGCCGTCACAGCACGAGAGCGGCTGCCGTCTCCCAGAGCCGGGGTGCAGCACCCCACGCGGAGATAGGTACGGAGGTGACACCCCCCGCCACCCACGCGCGCCCGGCGTCTCCGCCCGCCACCCCCTCGGGGCTCCCGCCGCACGCGTCCCCATCCCGCCCACCCCGCCGGACAGTCGCAATGGACCGGTCGCCCCCTTTTACCCCTTATCCCCCACCCCCTCTCCCACCCCAGCCCTCCGTGCCTCCGCGCCCGCCCTCCCGCCCCGCCGTCTTCTCGCCCAATTACCAGCGCCCTGGAGCCGGTCGGGTCGGGCGCCCGCGCCCGGGGAAGGCAGCCTGCGGGCGCTGGCCCCAGCCCGGAGCCGAAGGTCTCCTCTCGGCGCGCACTCACATTATTCATGTAAAGTTAATCCCCGCCGCGTCACGACCGCCCGCCCGCCCGCCCGCCCGAGGATGTGCGCCTTCCTTGGCCAAGCCCCGCAGTCTCCACCCTCCTCCGCCCCCTCCTCCTCCCGCCGGCGGGGTCTCGGGGAGCGCCGCGACACTCCGACCAAATGTCAACTCCCCGAGCGGAGAGCGGCGGGCCAGAGCCAGGCCCGCGCCGGCCCTCCGGGGCCACTCCACTTTCACCCGCGGCGGAAGCGAGTGGAGTCCCGGGGCCCCGAGTCCCCGCCTCTCCGCGCCCCCCGCGCGCCCGGCCCGCGCCCCGCGCGCTACCTTACTCCGGGGCCCCGGGGACGCCCCCTGCTCGGCGCCGGCGGTGCCAACCGGTGACCTGGTTTCCCCTCCAGTCCTCTTGGCGGGCCGACTCGCGCGACGACGACGGTGGCGGCGGCGGCGGCCGAGAGCAGGCAAACCCGGCTCCGCCAGGGGCGCAGCGAGGAAATGGCCTCCTGGCCGCGCACCCTGCCGCCGCCGCCGCCGCCGCCGCCGCCCGGGAAAGCCCAGCGGGCGCTGACGTCCGCCCTGTCGGTTCCCTGCCCGGACGGCACTCCGACGCTCGGCCGGACCCGCGCCCCCGGGGCTGACCCCCGGACCCCAGGTCCTCACCCCACGCCCTCGCTTCGCGGCGCCTCCGACCCGCCGCCTGCGCACCTGCCTGTCTGCGCGCCACCTGTGCTGACCCCCCCACCCCGGGTCCTCGGCCCTCGCCGCTCCAGGCCGGCCGCCCCCGCGCCTGCCCACCCCTCCCCCCCAGATGGGAGCGCTCTCCCTCCTCCCGGCCCGGCACGTGTGCTCTACCCCGCACGCCTGCCCAGCGTGGTGACTCTGTCCTGGCTTTGGTGCCCCTGCGATCTCCCTCCCACCCACCCACCGGACTACGGACTGCAGGTGCGCGGAGATGGGAGTTGGGGCGTCCTTCCTGCAGTTGAAGAAGAGGAAGGAATGGGGGGCGGGGATGAGTGACCCGGGAGGAGGAACTTCCATGAGCGCGGCCTTCTTTGCCTGCCTGACAGGAGCGACCCGAGCGGCAATCCTCCTACTGCCCCCAAACCACTTGTGGCGCGCGCGCGCGCGTGTCAGGACATCTGGGCGCTCCCTCGGGCTCCTCCCGCGGGCCCCCTGGCTGGCCCAAGCATCTGGAGGTTCTCGCGCCGCGGTTGCTACCCCCGGAATCAGCCCTTATGGAGGGCATGCCATTATTTGTATCCTGGGAGAGTTAAGTGTAGGGTTGAAACTGATCAGGTCACTTGTTAAAGAGACGCCCCCTGATGTTCTCTTTACCTTGGAAATAGGCAACTAAAAAATCTGGAAGACATAAATATAGTATAAGCTTGAAGTGTGCTGGTCTGGTAAATATACCGTTTATGATGCCCCCTCCCCTGAAATCCCAAAGGCGTGGCTCAGATTAGGGGGAAATAAATCAGGTGACTAATGTTCTGAGCAATTCCTTGAGAAAACTGTGCGCACCCAGCCAGCTAGTGTGCAGCCAATAGGAAGTTACAGTGCAACAGAACTATTTTGACAACAGAATACAATTACTTTCTTATTAACAATGATCAAAAATACTTTCTAATTCACCACTCAATATACACACTTATTTGATGTAACTCAGTGTAACTGAGCTAGGATGATATTCATCTTTCACTCACTGTGGGAGTAATGTACAGAAGATTTTTATTATTATTGTTATAGAGTTTTCTGGCTGTCCAGCTGGTGACATATGTCATATTCTAGCTTCTTCCAAGTGATATAGGGAAAGGGGAGCAAATACTGTCTTGCTGACGACATTAACCATAACTGTCAGGAATTCTGAAGCTGGTTACTGCATCTAGAAAAGCAGGATTGCACCATGTTTTAAAAAAGAAAGATGCAGCCCCCAGGGCTTGGCTGGGCAAGAGAAAAGGGGCCTTCTCTCCCCAACAGACTCTGTAGGCTTCATTTCCCATGGACTATTTGCAAATCTATGCTTTATTCTTTGCCTTCAAGGAGGTTGCACCATACAACTTGTGGGCTGCTATAGCAGGAGTCGTTCTTTGTGGGGAAGTTCCTGGGCTTTGGTCCAGAGCTGCCCTGGGACGTTTTGGGGTGGTTTAAAGGAGAGCTGTAGTCTCCACCACTATTCCTTCTACACGAGCAGCCCCCTGGTGGCTAACTGTGGCTGAAAAAGCTGGTCACTAGAAAAAGCCTGCCTCAGGTAGGCCAGCAGGGTTTCCAGATCTTTCCAAGAGCCAAGGAGTCTTATGAACAATCTTGTGGTAAGGGGTATATGATGATGCAAATCTGTGTTCCCAAGGTATATGATAAGCCTGAAAACATGATGAAATTCTCTGCTTTTTTCCTCTTCTTGATATATAACTTAGAGCTATTTTCCCCCTAAAAATCTTTCTTTAAAAGGAAACATAAAAAAAATGAAGTACAAAAACAAATGGTTGTTTTTCTTTGTTCAAATGGCTTTGTCTTTCTGATCTCATTTTGCCTGGAAACTTCTGACATAAAGAGTCAATTAAAGTGCTCAATAAATCACAGTAGCTTTATTCAAACCATTGGTGAGACTGTGGTTGTAACATTGTTATATAACAAGGCCATTGAAACATGAACTGGTTAGATTCATTTGAACAGGTCCTCTGAGGGCAGTGTTCTGGGATGTATGGTGGTAAAGGATTAGCAATAGAACATGACAGCTATTTGTCTGGTTTTACACCAGGGGTGGGGGGTAGATGGAAGACTGACAGAAGGTGGAACATATTATTCAAACCTACCCATAGTACAGCCCGACTACCTTGAGAGGAGTCATTAGAGCTGTTTTCAGGACCCACAGTCATCTACTTTAGCCATCTTCATAACCAAAATCTAAACATTTCAACCTGACTGATGACTCCATTCAAAGAAGCAATCCATTCATAGTCATCTCTCCAGCTCTCAGGGAAAGAAAATGAATGGAACACAGAGATGAACAGGACTGAGCTTAGTCTAAAGTGAAACCAGTCTGAACCTGTCTCTGTTTAACATTTTGAGAGGGTTTATTTAATTATGTTTTTGTTTTTAAATATTACGTTTAAATACCACCTTTGTTTACTGAGCTTTTTGGCCACTTGATGGGTTTTAGTAAAACCTTATGAATCTAAGGTGTGTCCCTTACCTGTAAGCCTTCCTCTTGCTCTATTATGCCCTCAGTATTACCAGTCTAACCAGACAAATAAAGCTAAAAGTTTATGAGGTGACAAAGCTAATTAATAGATGACATGAGGCCTGTGTTTAGGGAGTTAGAGATGTGGAAGAGACAGCTCTAAGATGTGAACGTTAGATGGCCCTTTAACATGTCCTTATTAAGGACTGAAAGGAGGGCAGGGACTGAAACCATTGGTATTCTTTCATTTATTCAACACTTCTCAAGATAGTTGTACAGCCATATGAGATAGCCTGGAGATTCCTAATCTGTGCATTCACTGTTAGTTCATTTTTCCTATGAAAGGCCTAGTGACTATAACAACTGGATGAGCACACAAATTCTGCATCAATTTTCAACAGAGAGAGATTCTTGAGGAAGATAACAGACTCCAAATTAACTATTTGAAGGTTGGTACTCTAAAACCAAAGATATAAATTATGTAGTCATTCTTTGTGATCTTAAAGCATTGGTTCCAGGATCTTTCTACAGTGAACCTGTGGTTAAACCTCACGTATAATTTCTTATAGTCTAAACATGTCCTCTCATATATTTTAATCTCATCTTTAGCTTACTTGCACTGTAAATGCTATGCTCTAATTGCTAAAGGAATAATAACCAAACAGGAAGCTGTCAGTCTTCAATAGAAATGGAATTTTTCCCCTTGTATCTTCAATCTATGGTGGGTTGAATCTACAGAGGCAGGGCCGGAGGATGTGGAGGGCCAAAAGAGCTCAGGAACAACAGAAGAGTCCAGTGAGACTTTCTGCATGGAACATTTGGAAGAAGCCAGAGAGGGAATGTAAAGACAGCTATATGATTTGTTGGTCCTAATACAAAATGAAACTGTGAGGCCTGATATGAAAAATATCAGGAAAAAAGGGAACTATCTTCTTCTGTCTTTGGAATTGCCATGCCATCTTTTATGTGCTATTTAGTCTCATTCTGAGTTAAGAAAAATACATGTTTTAAATTACTAGCACAAAGTTTACCATTCCTTTTTATATTGTGAAATGCTAGTTTTAACTGCAAACATATAAACCCTTTCACTTACGTACAAAATCAATGAAATTACAGTTTGTATTTTGTAGCTTATGTATGCCTATGTGTTTTGTCCTTACCAGAACAGTGGAACATGGAACAAAACTGTTTTTGTTTCACTTCTTAATGTGTGCCAGTTCTGTGTGCCAAAACTCTGCCTTTGGCCCACTGATGTGTGAGAGAGAACTGAAAGGAAAAGGAACTGGGAGCTGTCTTATCTTTCCCCTTCCTTATAGGTCATCATTTTCAGAGTAAGCAGTTAACAAATACAGTGAAGCAATGGTTGTGCAAAAGGGAATGAAGCACTTCCTCAATTGTCCTCCCTCCGGGTTCAAAGCTAATTCAGGGTAGAATGGAAAGCAAGGCCTTGGAGGGTTGGCAGGGTCCCTCTTTCCCAGTTGCTGATGGAATATGCCTAACTCACAATGACTTGGGTTTGCACAAGTCTCACCCACTGAAGCTCCTCCAGATTTCTATGTTTGTAGGACATCAAGAATGTTATGTGTGTTTGTGGGCATGCATGTCGTGTATGTTTCTTATGTTCATACAAATGTTCCATTGTCTCATCAGACTTTATCTATAAAATGCAAATTCTAAGATAAAATTGGTCCAGTATGCAAAAGTCAGAGTCATGAAGCAGGTGCATCATCCAGAAAGTGGCAGTGCGGATACCTCTTTCTCTTGCTCCTCAGTTAAGTACTGTTGGGCCCTGGGATAGTGAGAAGGGTAGGTGGAGAATATCACTGCATAGAAAAATCACATTCTTTTCCCTTGTTTTCCCACCGGGCATAGAAAGCTCCAATATGCTTGGGCAGGAACTAGTAATCTCTAAACTGAAAGAAGCCCTGGTTCCCTAATTACCATGTAGTAGAGAAGTAGGGTTCACCAACTGAACTGTTACTGAGATGGAATAAACAACACCTTTTGTGTTAAGTCACTGAAAAGTGAGAGTTTATGCATTGCATTCCCAGTAGTGTTATCTTAATATACCTGTCATCAGGCCAAGTTCCATCACAGTATAAATCATCTTTCTCTAAATAGATACCGTTAAAATAATGAAATAGACCTAGGTGCATCAGCCCAGACACAGATCCAAAACAAAATGTGTTAAAGCAAAGTTCACAGTGAACATTTTTAAGTTGATTTGTAATTTACATATGGTAATATGATTAAATCCTATGTAATTCCATTTGATAAATTATATACTTTTTGCCACTATGTAATTACTACCCAGAGTA